CTTTCTGGAGGGGCCCTCCTTTGCAGATTCTTTAACAAATTTGCCCTAAACCAGTACAGCAGGAGTCCAGGCTCATCTCCTGCCTGAAATTAACTATTTTTCTGTGTGTATTTTCTTGAATTTAGAAAACTGCATGGATTGTACCTGTGAGTTGTCTCTGTTGAGGAACAGAGTGGAAATCCAGCAAAGTTACTAATCCAGTTATTGGGCCATTTCTCATTTCTTCCTGCAGATTTCACCTTCTTGGCTAAGGAAGACAACAGTTTTTGAATATCAACATCACCAGGAACTGCCTTCTATATAGGCTGTGCACTGTTGTGCTTATAATCCTTGACCCAGACTGTGAGCTGGGAAGGGACAGACTCTTTCCAGTTCCTAATAATTCATTTGGCCCACTCAAGGGCCAATTATTTTTAACAGCGGTTCCTTACCTCTTTGGAATAAATGAACTTCAGAGAGGGCCAAGGAAGCAGAGCTGTGACACACATCTGTTCAGATCACAGTGCCAATGGAGTTTGTGAAATGATGCGTTTTTCATGTCAAAAATCCTGGTTCCTTCTTTCTGCATAAAGTACATTTTTTTCCTCCAGAAGTTAATTAATTTATGCTTCATAATGTTTCTTCTATTACTAACATTGCAGCCTGCTGCACAATTTGCACATCAGGTGTTTCTTCTTTTTTTAGGCTTTCAAACAACTGTAGGGTGACACTAGCTGTTCAGCAAGACAGAGCACATACTACCCATTGCTAATTCTTCTTCAAAGCAGCAGTTGAATTAACATAAGCTTTAAGTGGGCGTTATGTATTCATTTGCACATTTTCTGCTGCTGCTTATGACTAGTTTAGCTGCAATCTGCTGCACATAAAGGATTACTGCACAGATACAGAGCTTTATAGAAGTAACACATCCTTCAGGTATCTCTGCATAAACTCATGCATCAAACTATGGGTCATTAATTTTAAATGTCTGGAGGCAGAGAGATACAAATCTCTTTCTCTCTCTTTCTCTACCCTGTCTCACTCACTACCAGCTCTAGACAGACACAGTAAATTGGCACTCCCCAAAACCTACCTCATCATCATGAGTCATGTGTCAGTTTATTGTCCTTTTTCTCTGCTGTCTATTATTTAGGTGAGTTATTTGTTAAAAAATACACCCACAATACTCTAGTCGTAAATGAGTCCAGGTTTTTTTGTTTGGGTTCTTTTGTTTTTTTGGTTTTGGGTTCTTTTTTTTTTTTAATTTTTATTTAGATCAGAACACTGAACCTGATAAAAAGGAAGTGATTACTGTGCTTCCTTTTTTATACACCATTGCTGTAGTATCCCCAGCCAGAAAGACTGCATGCATGGCCCTTTTGCTGGGTGTATTGAAATAACTTTGTTAAACTATTTCCTTTGAAAGAATAAGATAAATATGACTATATAATTCTATACAAGATCTCAATTCAGATATTTTTTGCAGAAGTTCCAGTAGCAGCTCCCAAGTACCACTTTTTTTTTTCATTTTTTTTTTCTGGATAAGCACCATTTGCAGAAAAATATCAGTACTGTTGCTCTCTGAATTGGTATAAATCAGGCCATATGCTATTTCTGATTCTGGAAAATATGATCTTTTTCTTCTCCCTTCTGCTTAAAAATTACTTTGCATGGCTTTTTTTTTTTTTTTTTTCTCCCAGAGCATATTATATACTGTGTTTTGTTGATGTATACAGTGGTAATTTCCAAGACCACATAGGAAAAAAATGTACAGTGTGTGGTGTTTGTTTGGATGGTTTACCCAGTCATTGCACAGTGAAGGCAGAACTGTCATGAATTGTTCATTTAGTATCAGTTACCACTGTGACCACTCTGTGCAAGTTGCTTTGCAAACAGAACTATAGAGATCTGTTTATTCTCTTACCTCACTGAGAGCATTTCATAAAGAATGCTTGTAGGGGATTACATGAAAAAATGTGTGGCCTTTTTTGTGGTTTGCTTTATTTTTGTTTTTTTCCTGACCTACATTTTATGTGGCATATGTCAGGAGAGCTTAAGCATTTTATAGTACTACTTCTGTATGCACTTTCAAACACCTTTTCCTGCTGCCTCTGGTTGCTATGTATGAGAACCTGTGCACAGTATCACTGAAGATATGTCAAATTTTGAATGTCAAGCAAGGTAGCAGATCTATTCCAGGGGCAGATGGCTAAAAGTCAGATTGTGACTGAAGTATATTAGGCCCTAGTGTAAGGTCATGTATTTTTCTGATATCTCCAAGCAATGTGGCACAAGCTGCCTTACTTCCTCCACTCTCTTTGGTATCACTGAGTCAGGCTGTAGTTGTGAGAGGTGAAAGGAAGGGTGGCTGACAAATTGCAGAAACCACTGTAAGAACTGAGATGAGAGGACTGATGTCCATGTTTCATACAGAATGTTCTGTATGAAATCCATATCTTGACATTAATTTCAAATAATTCCTGATAAATTGTTCCTTTTGCTTCTGGGGTAGTGTAGTATGCAGTATAGTTTCCAACGACTAGTAGTTTGCTAATTGGGAACCCTACTTGATAAAGGAAACAATTAACATTTCAACTCACTTTGAAATGCTAAACATACATTCTTTAAGCAACATTTTTTTAATGCTATTGGCTACTTAGTTTAATAATATATTCATGCCTGAATATTCTTTTAAAAAACCCCAGTGGAAATAGCTTGGATGCAGTAACTAAGTGATAAGTTGAAAAGTTTCTTTTCAGCTGTAGGTAAAATGTCCCTGTTGTCATGTATGCTGTTTGACATTTTAAAAATTGTGTTTTGAAACTCCTTTTGGAGTTTTCCAACAGGGAAAGACAAAAGATATCATAATATCCTAAACCTTTTATTTGAACAAGAACAAATAAGTGCCACACTAAAATCATAATTAAGAGGTTTTTTCTTGCTTGCTTTTAAAATCTTTTTTCACATTCAATTGTACAGTTTTTGAGTTCTTAATATATAACACACTGCATCCATTCTCATGGAGGAAAAACTCAAGCCTTTGGCATGAGGTCATATTCATCTCCCCAGATTTTACTCATGAAATATGCATGCATTTAATCTAAACTGATCAAGCAGACTTCATTTGAGACAACTCCATCCCACCTTAATGCAAGTGTCTTGGGCCAGCAGGATGAATGACCCTCTCGAGATGCCTGCCTCTCCATTAAAGACAGCTGGTGCCGAGATGACCATCCTAGATTTGATGTCACATCTAACTTTTAGATGATTGAAGCTTGATGAGGTAAATTGCATGTAAAATCACATAAAAATTTATATGGCACAATATGGACTGAAGAACTTATATGGCACAATATGGACTTAAGAACTTTTATGGACTTAAGAACTTACAAGAAATTCCAACATTAATTATAATATAGGAGAAATGCAAAATAAGTTAGCTACCAAAATTTTTTGCTACTATAATACTTTGCAATATGACTTCATGTGAAACAAGTCAACAATGCAGGAAAGAAGGCTGAATAATCAGGGAAATTATCATTCTCCTCAAGAGAAGAAAACAGCTCTCATTCTTTGCTCTGTTCCCTAGGTAATGATCCACCTTACCCTCCATCCTCACCTCAAAGGCTATAGGCAATAGAAGAAATAAAAGAAAAAAGTTGTCTCTAAGGAACAAAATATAGTCCAGGACAACAGGGCAAATTAGGGGGACAATAAAGGTGATAAATTATGGGAAACTGAATTCAGTTATGAAATAAACAAATACACTTACTATTCTTTAAAAATGTCTCAACTGGTTCATCCTTATCTGCCTAATTTTGTTAAAATGGTGCTTCCTAATGAAAATTATTTCAGCATTAATTTACTGTGTGGTTTTTTTTGTAGTGCATTTGGTAAACTCATTTACAAAAACATTCATGTTATTCAGGAGCACCACCACAAGTAAAATACAAACTCTCATTTTATAAAGTAAAAAGAAAACATAAAAATAAAACACCATGGTATTATAACCCCCCATATTTAAATAAATTCATTCCATACACTTACTTTCACAATAGTTTCAGCCATGTGATTCCTGTGTAAACAGCTGTAATGACTTGAGAGAATGGCATTTTACTAGTGCATAGTGATCATCCATTTGCATATAGGAATGAGGATTTGGTAATAATTTTCCTTCAGAGAAAAGTATTACACTCTGGGGACTTCGTGTAACTTATTTTCACCAGAAAGCTAAGAAAATGCCTTTGAAAAACTCTCAACTACCTGTGGGATGCATCAGATATTCATGCTTCAGATTCTGCTGATGGAAGCTACTGGGCAAACACTGTTATTGTAATGAGTTGTCTGCATTCACTAATGACCAGAATATTTTATCAGAAAACACTTTCTGATGTTGGAACCTTAGACCTTAATTTTTAGATCAAACAATAGAACTTAAACATATAAAACCTCATTTTGTTACTTTTATGTCAGATCTTTGCTGGTGCTGTGTACTCAGAACATCCAATGGCTTCCGGAAGAGCCATTTTATGCCTCAGCACCTCCAAAAATGAGATTGTGGAAAACTGGCTTGAAAATCTCATGTAAGTAATACTGACTGAAAAGCAATGGCATTTCAAGACTAAATGTTTTGTTTATGGTATCAGTCATTGTAAATGATGCAAGCTTCTGTATTTAGTTTTTGGAGACATTATTTGTACTTTACACAAAACAAGTGCCATTACTAAATTAGCTAGTTTGAGCAATCGCCCTTTTAAAAATAATTAACTCTGTGAACACTTGTTGGAAAGTCAGCCTGGAGCTTTTCCATTGCATTGCTTCTGCTTAATGATGAACTATGGCTACACAGGGCCTTGCTGTCATTTGGGTATGTGGTCCCATCATAACCAGTGAGCAACTCAGAGAATCACTACTCATCAATATGGATGTGGTTGTACTGTTTGTTTCTAAAGGAAGATGGTTCATAAATGCCAGGGGAGAAAAGGACTCTGTAAATATGAAAACAAATAGTACATTCATTAAAACCAGAAGTTTTCTAAATAGAAGAAATTCTACTAAATTCAGTAGAATTACAATCTCAGAATGCCATTATCCAAAGCTACATGGAAATTTTGTCTGTAGAATTCCCATCAATTATGACATGAATATTTCTGATAGTGATTATTACTGTTTCCCTTTTGTCCAAATGTTGCACCTAATTTTTTTAAACAGAAACCTTATTTACACTTGAATGTACTTCTCTGGCAGGGTTGTAACATTAGCCCTCATTCAGCAAATGTTTAAGATAATTATAGACAACACAGTTCATAAGAAGCCATGATAGGTATAGGACAACAGCCTCTCTGCTCTGGCTGATTAGATATTTGAGAGATCTGAAAGCATGTTGATGATGTTGTAAGGCAATGCCAAGACAACAAGTTCCGCCCAAAAGTATAATTCAGACTATGGCATAAGTATCAGCTGTTACACCATCTTGCTGAAAGTCTCATTGTGTCATTCTTGTACCTGCTAAACTGCACAGATCCATAGGTTACAATGGATCCACAATTCTAGGAAGGTGCCAAAGCAAAGAATGATCAGAGAGGTAAAAAATGGGAGACTGTCTTTGCAGTTAAGATCCAAATTAAAGTCCTTTTATTTTGCTTTTAACTGAGAAAAAAAAAAAAAAAAACCACAACAAAACAATGTATGTTTAAATATTATTTTTAAATACTATATCTATCTTGCTGTTTAGAAGTGGATATATACTCACACATATATATGCATGTGTATGGATATCTGCCCTTTTAAAAGGAAAGAAATTCAGTCACATGTCTGTGCAGCTCCTGTATTATTCAATTAGCCCCAAGGTGTTAGGGTGATCTTGTCCTTTATGAATCTAAAAGATGAAAAGCTCACCCTAAGTTGTGCATCTTCATTTATTTCAAGAATCAGAATCATAATTTGTTTCCATGGTCACTGGTCTTTTCTGGAGGACAGCTGATGCCTTCTGCCTTCATTTCTCTCCAAGACCAGAAGAATCTCTCAGGAGCTGCCCAAACTTCTATATAAAATATAGAGGCAAGTACAAGACTGACTTTGACTGGACTCACATTTTAGATGACTAAAATTAGTGATGTGAATCCTGCCCATCTAGGTTCATTATCTGTATGTAGAGACTTGGTGTTGTGTAGTAAATGCAGACTACAACAGATAATATCCTTGTAGGTTCCCAGAACTTCAAAACAAAGCATTGTGAAGTTGTTTTCCTGAATTATTTGTCTAAACTGGGCATGAATTTTAAATATTTGACTGACATTTGAATGTCTTCAGTTTTTGGCTGGCATCTTTAATAAACATGAACAAGTAAAGCTTTAAAAACATCAAAAGCTCATCTCTTCTGCTAAAAATATTGATTCTGTCTTCAGCACCTTCTTGTGAAGCAAAGGAAGCTATTGTAAAAAATACATTCATCTGAGAGCAAAGATAATGAGAATAAATGCAATTGTCTTGACTCAGAGTTTGAACCCTTGATTTTAAATTGGTAATTAGCTTTTTTTTGATCTCAAGAATGTTGTATTTCTGAAACAAATGATTATGACACAGTATAAGTTTCTTTATTTAAAAGTTTCAGTCTATGCTTGTTATGATTATAGTGAAGCATAGTCTATACCAAAATTGCCACCTGTGCAGAAAACACTTATTATGAAAAGGATGTGAAAAGAAGACCTATATATTGCTATTAATTTCATATTGTCTTCACTGTTGCTTCTTGGATATTAGGGTGTAAATAAGTTAGGTATGGTCATTCACTTCATATGTTCAGGCTTTTGGGAATAGGTGAGATATTTAGAGGCTCAGTATGTCTCTTCAGCAACTGATGTCAAGACCTTTTTAAATTAAAAACTTCTCTTGATGTACTATCTTTTAACCTCATTTTATTTCTTACAAAAGAAAGAACCTTACAGTGATTGATTTTTTGCACATGACTAAAAAAATCTTATCTTGAAAACTTGGGGATATAATGAGTGACATTCATGTAAAATCTGCCTCTATTCCAAAACAGTTAAAAGCTTTTCTGGCTTTTCACCTCCAATCTTGATCAAAGGCAAAGTAGAGACAAATTTGAATGAATGGCATCTCTGATGCTTTTTCTTCCCTAGAACAAGCTGACCATCTCCACCTGAAAACTCTTAGGAACAACAGTCCTGGTGGGGCAAATATATGGGAGATGGTCCTGCAGTAAGGCTTTTGAACATGAAAACTTGCACTTCTTAAAAAAGATTAGTACCTATCTTTTCCATAGCAAATCATGGCAGCAGAGATGTGTGACATTCATTCACTTTCCCTTTAGCAAATTTGTCTGTGCTTCTTTTTGTTTCTATGTCTATTTTATTTATATTCTTCTGGATAAGATGGCACAATTCCCACTCAAATATTGTGTATAAGAATTATGTAAAATAAACTTCTCTTGAGGTCCAGAAGGCTTTTTCCCCTGCTGTACCACACCTGACAAGCAACTGCTCTCCAGCTTCTAAATTTGAGCACTTATTAGAAATGCTTTTACCTCAACTGGCAAAGTGACAACAGAACAGTCTTATCTACAATAGAAGGAAATGTTCTCTTCAGAAGCATTATGCAAAAACAGAAGGGAAATAAGCATTAAAATAAAGCACTTAAAAATAGGCTACAATGTCCTTGATGTGTCTTGCCATCATCTCAAGATGATATGAGATAATTATCAAAAACCAAAAAATAATATATTCCTAGGCCAATCACTACAACTTTTTGGGACTTGTCTGGTGTATCTACATACACATAATAATTTTTCTGTCTGTTGCATGAGTTCATCTGCACTGGTTTTCACACTGATTCTGAAAATAACTGCCTTGGTTATTCCCATTCCACTTCCCTGCCTAAACTGGTGGACACAAATGCATAAACCAAATACACAAGCAGAGGATAATTCTCTTTCTTGAATCTTATATTGCTTTTTATAAAAAGATAAAATTGCTTTTCAGAGACAACATGCTATTACAGTAAAGCATTATTTCACAGTACAGTCTAAGGGGCAACCACAGTCTTTCTTTGACAGAGAACTCCCTTCTGATAGGGGGTGATATTATGGTTTCCCCAACTCCAGACTGTCAGAAATCATGGGTTAAATCCATTCTCAACACATATAAGATAATAACTAAGAAATGCCAACAGCACATTTTTTTGTTTTTGCTCTTGGATTTTGAGGCTGTAGGTGTGCTTATAGCATACTTTCAAAGTATTTTTTTCAGGCAAGAATATTTTTATTTAGGTTTTTATAAAACTGGAATTATGTTTTTGCTCCTCACCTCCAAAAGCTGATGTCTTAGAGAATGCCTCAAAGAAATGAAGGCCTCAGAAATATTACAGGAGCTGGGAGCACATATATTAAAAAATCATGAAAGATGTAATGAGTTATTTCTATACTATAAAATAAAACTATGTCACCAAGAACACTGTGCAAAATTTAAATAATGAAAATTAGATATCGCTAGCTGATCTTTAAAAGGAATTGTACAAACATTCATGGTGCCAATGTTTGACTTTTCAATTTAATAAAAGCAGTAAGAAATATGTTTTTCATTTCACTGCCTCTCGCTATTCATGCAGGCTAATTCTCACTCTACCAGTGGCTCATTTCTTCAATTACAGGATGTACCTTCATTACACTTGATATATTATATTAAACAGTAAGTGTCTTATGCTAATATACAGAAACTTGTGGTTGCCAGGCATCGTCCTTAAAGGAAAAAAATACTTTTAATTAAACAGTTGTCTTCAGTATGAATAGTTGTCATAAGTTACTGCCATTACCCAAGGGGTAATGTTTCCAAAGCTCATTATGGAATTATTCAAAAAGAAATCCCACACCAGCATTTACTGAGTAGTACATGGAATACATAAATACAGTCAAATTGCCAAGTAGACAGTTCTGTAGTGTAGCCACAAAGGAATGAATTGTATAACAGAACCACAGAAACTTGGGGCATTTTCTACAGTTTCCCATTGTATTTTGTGCAGATATGAGACAACGACATTTATAATTTCTATAATTTGATCTTATCACTCTAATATTCATATTTTGCCCTCTAACACTTACCCCAGAATTAGATTTTCCTCAAAATTTCAACTACTTTTAGGTATGACTAATGTTATAATTTTTATCCATATTACAGTAACAAGAAGGATAATTATTTGATATTGATAAGGAATATTTACTTATTCATGAATCATAAAAAAAAAAAAATCAAACTTTGCCCAGGAATTTTGATGAATGCATACATGTTCTTTATTCTCTTTTAAGTTTGTGTTTCTTTAAGAAGACTTTCCTATTTGTTCTGTGTCACCATAGCAGGTTTGCCAGCCATGTGTGTTCCTGAACTTCTAATAACTTTTGAGTCTGTCAGCTGATTTCAGACTAATTCGATGCAGAGGTGGAATTTTCATGAAGAATTCCTGAGTACATCTTTCAAAAAATCTGGTTGGTTAGAGGATTATGTGTCCTAATGAAAGCAAAATTGCCATATGAATTTCTATCTGGTTATGAACCAGAGAATTAAACCAGGAAAGTGCCCTAAGAAGTCATCTGCTGCATGGAAGATTCATTCAAATTTGTCTCCTTCTTGATATCAGATTCAATTAAGGATGATAATAATGAGCACTTTTGGCAGCCTTTAACTGAAGCTCAGTGGTGAGCTATCTTACCACATAACATAGTTTACTCCTTGATGATCTAACACAGTTAGGAAAATGCTGTCTGTTTCCTTCTCAGGCTACACCATTTCTGCAGGGAAACTGTGTTGCTCATTTTGTATTAACCTTTGGTGGAGCCAATCACATAGAGCAAGCTCTGAAGTCTCCCTTTGGGTTAGTTGAAACAGTTTGTAGCAGTTTGTAAGCAACTTGCAGAAAAACGCTTGGATGAAGGCTTCGTCCAGGTGCTCAGAAATCCACTAGCAGTAGTTAGAACATCCTTGTAAACAAGGAATAGAAAGTCTGTTTTTCTTAGAAGCACACAGGCCTTTTGTGCCACTAGCCAGCATGTATGAACCGTGGTGACAAAGAGGAAAGTTAGTGAAAATAACAACAAGGCAAACGAGTGCATTTAGCAGCAAAACAAATCTGCACTTCAGAGTCTAAGTAGGTGAGTCATATGATAGGAAATGAGATAATTAACAGAAATAGAACCCAAACCAGGGACAGTGGAAAAACTGCTTCAATTCTGTCACGTCAAACTGAAAGGGTGTTTGTGGTGATTGTTTTTCAGAAAGCAAAGAGGAATATATGTGATGGTGTTGAGAAACTTGTTATTATATGCAATTTTACAAGCCTTAAAAACTTCCTAATTTTTGGCCAGACTATGTCAAGGAATTTGTGCCTCCAGGCTTTGGGGGATCTTGGTCAGCGAAACGAATTAAAGCTTGCTTGTTATCTAAAAATAATTATTGTGAGTAAAGCATTCAGAGAAGACAAAGAAAAATAAAAGTGGATGCTTACATTTCTCCACTGAGGAAAAAGATTAAAAGAGTGAAAAAGTTTTAAATAATTTTTTGATGAAGAATGCATTGAAAGAATAAGGGATGAGAGGTAAAAAAATGGATCTGAATGAACAGCAGTTTTGAAAGAACCAGTCATGCTATAGCAAGCATTAAAAAAAATTCAATAAGCACAGATATAGTTGCAGTTTTGTAAGATAGGTTTGGGAATTACTTACCTGAAAAAATAACTTATGGTAGTTTGATAAAATTTAAGTACAAAAGGAATTATAAGGGGAACAAAAGTAGGCTGAGATATCAGGTAATTCACAAATATCAGTAGACTAAAAATTCATTAGCAGTGGTGCTTTTGTCTCACCAAGCATGATCTTTCGTGCTTCAGAGTTTGCAACCATAGTAATGCAGCAGGTTTTAAAAGGGGTTTTGCTTTCAATGGAATTTTTTCATAACCAGAAGAACTGAAATGATGGTTTAACCATTAGACTTGTTGGTTTGCTTTTTTCCCTAGATACAGAGAAATGTCACTTGCTAAATAGCAGAACTGAATCTTGAACTAAAAAGTAACATAGCAACAGAGATGAAAACATGTTCCCGGCTTGGAATCACACCTCTTGTTAAACATATTATTTTGTATGTATCATGCATAGATAGATAAATATTTTAAGAGTTTAACTATCTTTATGTTTTCAAACACTAACTGAAAAAATTACTTGATGTTCTTATTTTTGGAGGATGAGGCTGTAAGATAGCCCTTGTGTTTGAGATTTTTTTGCAAAGTAGAGGATCTTTCACAGTTCTGCAGTTGATGGGTTTGTAAAATGGTAGTTGCCAGTGGCCTTTTTCATCCCACTTTATTCACTCAGTAATACATCTTTTTTGTTTCTTCACAAATTAAATTAGAATTCATAATTTTATATCTGAATTAGCTTCCCACAGAGAGCCTTATTATAACAAATGAAGTTGTAATAACTCATTTTAACAATTTAATCTATAAATTGTTAGAAAGTACTTTATATGTTTCTGTAAGGGAACAGAACTTGCTTTTAAAGATTGGAGAAAAAATTCAAGAGAATTTTATGTACAGTATGGTGAGTGACTGATACATTTTTGCATATCTGTCATTACAGTATATTAAGCATGAAATAAAATACGAAATAGGAATGTTAGCAGAAGACCTGAATATGAATTTCAGAGAAATAAGACTGAAGAGAAAGAAGTAACTCTTTTGTGAAAAGAACAGGATTCTGCTGATGTGTTAGTGAATGTGGAAATGTATTCTAATGAATACCAAGATTTCAAATAAAAACTGCTGCCAGAAGTGTTGATAGACTTTCTTATTGTGGCGTACTGTGCTTACCCTGCAGGCAATTCTGAGTGATGTGGCAGATATTAGGCTTTATTTATAGAAAGACAGGCAGACTAGTACATCTGCATTTTAAGCCATTCTTTACGAATAGCAATCATGAAAATGGTTACTGTATTTTTTCATTTCTCTTAGCATATTCCTGACTGTAAGGGAGCAGTTGGGCAGAGGAGGGCTAGAGGGCTGTTGTGGGGCTGGGGGCTGGCAGGGCAGGCAGTGCCACGCTGCCACCAGGAAGGGCACAGCCCTGCAGCACCTGCACAGGGTGAGCAGGGCAGGAATGGGGACAGTGGCTGGGGACAGGCTGGGATCCCTGTGACTCTCTTTCCCAGGAGATGGTGCAGGGCTGCTTGGAGGCACCAGCTCAGGGCACAGGCAGCCAACCGCCTTGGCACTGGGGGAGACTTCAGAGGCTATTGAGATGTTCAAAATCCCGACACAGGCAATCTCTTGACCTTGTCTTTTCTCATTTCTCGCTCTTTGAATTTTCACAATACAGTTTTCTTTCTCTTAGGTATAACTTTATCTTGACAAATCTCTGTTTCTGACTTGAGGAAAAAGGTGTATTATATGAATGGTCTTTTTGTTTATCAACATTGTGTTCCTCAGGGATTTTCATCTTCTATACTGGCAACCTTGGTATCCTTTTATAGAATATTCCAAAGCAAACATTTATGATAAACAACAGTATCCAGTACTTTTATTTCACTACACTAATGTGAACAAACAAAGCTTGTAACTGTGCCTGAGACCTGAGTTATTCAAAGTCAGAGGAATTTCCAGTCCTAATAATTCCTTTTTTGTATTCTCTGATTTTTTGTGCATGTAGTGGCTTGAAATAGGATTGATAAGGATGGAACAAATTTATGGCTTTTAGATATTCATATGTCCATATGTATTGCTCTGTTAAAAACAGAAAGCTAGATATTACTTGGTAGATATTAACCTTAGATATTACAGTTCACAAATCTTTCAGTGTTAAGTGGTTATATTTAAAGCAGGGATTACACAATGCCACTTTGATCATATAAAGTTTTTGTTTTTCTGAACAAAATTGTCATCAGTCTTTATCATTAGAAAGCCTGTATATTTAAGTGTCTTTGCCTAAAATTTTTCATGCCATTTGGACAGGAGTATTCCAAGCAACTAAAAATTCAGTGAGTGATGTCCTTCAGCATTCTTGCAAAATATGTATTTTTGTAACATCTGTAATTTTGGTCTTATACCACCACAGGTCATTGAAGGTGCATTTATTAATCTTGGAATAATTTTATCAAATGTTTGTTTAACAGAACACAAGCAGTTTAGATGAATGTCTCTGGTTTCTGATGGTAACAAGCTTCTCAATACTTTCTAAAACACAATATGTAACAGGGTCCAAGGAGAGCAGCATAAAAATCTGTTGATCAAAACACATAAAAATACCATAAATATATAATTCTTTTCAGGTTAATAAGTCACTGAGTTCACCCAGCTTGAATTATTCTTTCTTATTTAAATTGTAGCAATAAAAACTAGGAAATGGCAAGTTTTCAGGAACTTGAAGTCATCATTCAAATCCTGACAGTCCACTGGAGGGGAGGTTGGGTGTGGAACATTTAATGGCAAATGTATCACTACTTGTGATATTAAAAGTTCTTTTAAATTCATTAAAGTCCTTTCCTGACGGCAGTGTAATATGCTTCCCCTCTGCTCTCTAGGAATAGTTGGTTTTCATTTCAGAGCATTGTGTTCAATTATGCTGGGTAAAAACTAGGACAGCAGACAACAGAAACATTTTTCTTTTAGGACTGTTCTCTCAGTACATTTTGAAGACATCAGTGGCTGAGGGACCTGAAGTTACTTCTGTTACACAATCTGAACCCCAATTTCCTAATTCCTGCATTCAGTGTTTTTTGTTTGCTCTTTATTTAATGCAGTAGTATGAATGTCAGGTGTCTGTGTAAAAGATTTATACTCTTAGTTAAATAGGCTTCTTAAAGTGCAGTAATTGTGAAATTACATCACTCTACCTCAAAATAGTTAAAAGAGCTGCAAGCTAAGCAGAGAAAGAAATGTCATCTTTGACTAGATATAAATGTTAATTAAGAACTTTTACATGCTGAAGTTGAGAGGAAATATCTTCATGTCATATACCTCTGAATAGGAACAAATTATTACCCTGAAGATTTTTGAAAACTTTGCCCAGAAACAGCATTGCACTAGCTAGAAAAATGCTAATATCTGTCTCCATTTCCTGCCCAGGTATTAAGATTTATTATACAGAGACTTCAATGGCAAATTGCCAAGAAGTACTGAAAATCCAATCTCAATATGTACAGAATTACAAACAATGCATGCCAAATTAGTTATGCAAGTAGTTGTCTGGCTAAATTTCTTGTAACCTAAACTGATTCTGTTCCAAGTTGCTTTCCAAATGGATATGATCTAGGGTGCAAACTTGATCTTCTGCTCTTGATAGATGGCAGTCATTTACCTATTACTTTTATTACTATTAATTAAGTCTTTTGAAGTTTATGGCTTTAAATGTCCTTGTTCTTGCTTTTAGATCTATATTGCTTCAACTCAAGGTTAAAAGGAAAAAGTGAATCTTCTGTTCCACTGTAAATCTAACAATAATTTTCCTGATTGACGGAGACATTGATTCTTCCATAGCCATTTGAAGGTAGCATTAGTATATAAATATATATCTATATATATTCACACACATATTCACGCATACATGTGTATATCCACACACTAGAATACATGCATCTGCATATAGACATACACCTACAGAGATGGGAAGATTTTTCAAAGTGAAGAGTTTGTCTGTGTACTCACTTTCTACTAAGATCAATAAAACTTCTGAAATCCAATTTGTACCTTTGAAAAATCTTCTCCATACAGATTATTTTCAGAGTTAATATCCAGCAGATTAACCCTGTAGTCTCATCAATAGAAAGAAAAAAGGCTTAACTTCTACTTTGGCACTTATGTTAGAAAACTCCTTCTCCTTATTGAAAAAGAAACATATTGTATTCCATTTGCTGTATTTTATGTTTTCTACAGGTTATAATAATGTCTGTATCACTGAGATTCATGTTATTTAGCTTCTCATAAGTTTTCCCTAATTGCAGTAGCACATTTTAAAACATGTAATAAAAGCCAATTGAGGGCAAAAATATGACTGTTGTGTCAGTTGTCATACCATTTTTTAGCAGAAGAGATGAGGGGAAGGAAAATACTGTTAATTAATTAATACTGTACAATAAGGATAATGAATAAAATTATAGGAGCAGATAAGAGTGTTTGTTTTGACAACCATCTCTTTATTACTGTTTTTCAATAACAAATCACTCTGGATTACATTTTATAATCAAAACATGATATCATTTGCAGTTATTTTGTGAGGACTGTGGAAGTCTTGAACAACAAAATATCTTTCCTAAAACACTGTAGTTTTCAGCTGAAAAATAAGCAATTTTATTTTTCTGAAAAGGGTGGCACATCTTTTCTGATGGCTTTAACTACTAGTATCCTCTTGATACTGAAACATGGCATCTTTTATTCCCTAAGAAGATGTTTCCTAGTTACCGAAGGTCCAAATGGTTCCTGCCTGTCCTGCAGACTCTTTTCATAGTATTTTCCAGTCTCTCTGTATGTACGTAGGATTGTCCATCTATACAAAACCCCTAATCAATTCATGCCATTGATCGTTCCTGCTGTTAGTCCTTCCTTAGCTTTCATTTTTTCAAACTTTTAAAATTCTTCCATAGTTCCTCACTACTGCTTTCTTATCCCTCCTCCTTACTTCTTCTACCATCTCTTCTGTCCCTTCTCTAAAACTAAACCAGGCCCTGTTTCCCTTGCAGACAGACTCCTGTCCCTGTCCTGCTTCTCACTTTTGCACAGAAGCCTGTTACTGCCTCCAACCCACCACTGATTTAGCCAATGCTGATTCCTCAGCTTTTCTTGCCACGTCCTTCATTTCACACACACACAAAGTGCCTTGCTCTCGCCACCTCTTGGCTCTTGATTTCTGACCTGATCTTGATAATTTTTCCCCATCTGGCATTGAATCTGCACTTGTTTTCTCTTATGGAAAGTAGTATTTTTATTATGCAGCTTTGTTTATCAATTTTTCTTCAAATAGCCTCCAATTTCTAACCCTAGTTATTACTTCTCCCGCTGAAGAACAGCAGTCTTTTAGTTTCCTTTGTTCTAAGTTGCTATTAATTAAGCCAGACTAATCTTACCTACTTTTAGCTGTCTAAAAGCTAGGATGCAGCCTGAGCTGCTCATCCTACATTTTTACTTCTGAAGTTAAGAAAGAAAGGCAATTTGAGAGACTAAATCATGATGCTTTCAAGTCTCAGGATGGGAAGATATAGTTTGTTTATAGTTTTATAGAGGTGATTATTTTTCTATATTGATTATCAGAGGGGTTTACACAAATAGATTTTATTACACAATTATTTTTTAATGATTAAAATTAATCCTTCCAATACATATTCTATTGTAATTTCAACCCCTAACATTTCCCCTTATAATCTCTCAGACATATTCCACAGAGGCCTGTATAAACTAATATTTTCCATTTCTAAATTACTAAATTAATATCTAATTTAAATAAATTAATGTCTCATTTCTCAAGATTAAAACTCTCTTTCTGACAATATAGTTGACTATCTATTTTTTAAATTTTTACGTTATTGAAAATACTTTCTTGTTGTATTATCTTTGACTTTTCACTTTTGTTATTGGACTGATGGCTAGGATGGTTGAAAGGTGTGTCTGTCTCATAATAAGGATGGTTTTACTTCAGGTTTGAATACACAATTGCTGACTGGGAATGAAATATATTCGTTATTAATGTAAGAAGCTTATAAGAACTTACAGTTTTTTAAACTTGAGAAAAAAAAAAATAAATGGCATCTAGTTGTTCTAGACATGACAAAAACTAAATAAATTAAACCCCCAAACAATAGAAGAATCAGTTTTCTGATTATGTTAGCTGTCTAAAGACAAGAAATGTGGAGTATAAATAGACCTGGAAGCCTTATTATTTGATCAACAGTATGAC